TACTATGGGTACTAGACAACTGATATAAATACATATATACTTTTTTTTTTTTGTAAATACATACTTATTATACATAGAAACACCCAGACCAAATCAAACATTAAATGTTCATGCACACAAATGTTTGACTTGAGCGGGAATCGAACCCGCGACCTTTGGAATAGCAGTCCGTTACACAAACCATTACGCCATCCGGTCGTCATCCGGATTGTAGCTCAGGTGGTATTTTTCTCTTTAATATGATGACAATAGCTTAGTCCAGGGATTCCCAAAGTGTTCCGAAATCGGTTTCCCAGAGGTCAACATTTATTAACTGAAGTTTTTATTTTAAACTTTCAAAATACTGTAATAGTTGTGTTACGTGTACTGACTTGTTATAAGAATGGCTCATATTTTAGTAAGAAGAATAATGATACTTCTTCTACAACAATGTTTGTACTTTTAAAAAACTCAACAAGTCTATAAGCGTGCAGTAATTTGGCTATGGGGGTCTGAGGTATCATTTTATTTTAGAAAAAGGGTCTCTTGCTCTGAATAGTTTGGTAGTCCCTGGTTTAGTCTTTTCCGTATCTCCTAATTAATGAGTAATGAATATTTCTTGTGTTAGCTGGTCGGACTTGTTAGCTTGCTTTAATAAATACATATATATATCTATACAAATAAATCAGATGTGTCTGTTTGTAATGTCAAAATAATAGATTTTTTCATGCTCACACGGTTATTTGCACGATACCTATGCCTAAAAACCAGTTTTTTTTGTCTGTCTGTCTGTTTGTTCCGGTTAATCTTCTGACTGATTTTGATAATATTTTACTACAGTTAGCTGTATATATAAAGGTAGCTGTCTATATAAAGAGTAACTTAGGCTATTTTCCTTTCAAAAAAAAACAATAAAAAGTTTTGCCGGGTCATGGAATCAAACCCACTAAGGCAGCGTTTTTCAAATTCCACTGCGAACGAAGTCAAGAGTATCAGCTAGTGCAAGTATAAAACGCTGCGGCGTTTGCTATTATAAAATTAATCTTAGTATGTTTACGGGTATAATTTGTGTCGCCGCATCTATCTTATGATATACTCCTATTAGGATTATAAAATACTATTTGAAGAAAAGTTGTGTACGAGTATTTAATATTAACTTGCAAAGTTCTTGCTATGAAAGATAGATACAAAACTAACACAATCGATATTATATAATGATATTTTAGTACTAATACCTTAGTCTGTTTGTTTCTTATTGTAATTAATTAAATTGTGTGCTTTGGAAGTCTCGCAAGTATGTAGGTAATCCAGTTCGAATAGGTAAGTTGTCCAGACATTTCTATAAACATATGTACATATATGTCGTAGTATATATGCATACAGAGTTGTTATAAGCAAAATTGCTGTTAATTTAATGGAATGGAATTACAGTTTCGTGTATAGTCCCTTATTAAACAGCTCTTTGGGGAATTAGAACGTACTAGTTGTGTGTCTGCGACCTTAAGGCGGATTAATAACTTTTAGAATATTTATTGCATGCAAAAAATTGAAACTTCAACAGTCCTAAATATATCTATGATGTTAATTTTATAACCATGGAATGATGATATTATGTTCATGCCACAGTGTTCTCATTTAAATTATGTTTTAGCTTTTTACATCTACTGTTAAAATGGTCCCGACGTTGATAAAAACAGTAAGGTAGTATGATAATTATAACGAAAATACTTACCCAAACTGGTCAGTGAATTCATTTTGTAATTTCATCATTTGCTATAATTCAAAAACTGCGATATGGGATTATAGCTGCCGGGTGTTTTTTTTCTCTTTTTTAAAGCGAATTTAGAAGTAAAAAGAAAGCTTTTGAAAAATAAGCTAATCATATAAATATTAACAATGCTATGCAAAATATTAAACTCGCCAACATTAACCTTTAAATACCCGTTTGTTTAAAAAAAATATGTGATAAATTGTTCATTTATATAGGACTAGTAAGTGACAAGTAAACCTCCTTTCTTAGGAGTGGCCTATCTCCAGCAGTGGACTATGAAAGGATGTTGCAGATGATGATAATGATGAAGTAACTAGATATTAGTCAGTAGTTATTTAGCTTTATAATTGTAGATTTTTTGTAAATAGTCTTGACGTTGACAAAAGTAATATTGTATTATTTCCACCTACCAGTCTATCCTGTCTTGCTGAAATATTTTGCAAACTGTAGGTGAGCTTTAATGGAGTAATCATGAAAACGCAAATTGACAGCAAACGAGTCAGCCAAGTCTGTCCAATTTCGGAACGAGGCATTGTTGCCAAATTGCAGCTTCTTAGTTGCACGAGTTACGCTTTCAAAGCACCACGTCGCTAGTCAAACTTTGTTGGAAATCTTGATAATGAATCAAATTTCAATTCTCCGAAAGAAAAATAAGCCGTTAATATTTTGCCAATATTAAAAAATACAAAAATGAATTATTCAAGAAAGTTTTTGAGACATTTATTTGCTGATTACAAAAAAATAACTTTGGATGCTGACTTGTATATTTAGGATGAAATAAGTTAAATTGAATGTAATTTTTTAATTGTCTTCGGCCCGCGGTTTTAGATCAATTAAAGTTCGATTGCTTATTATGGATTAGCAGATTGGTTCACGTTTATTGCTTGCTGTCCATATCTTTTTTTTTTGTATCTAAATCCTAGAAAAAGAAGACTAATCCAATAGAAAATTTGTTTTGAAATTGGGACCTTTACTTTAAATTAAAACAAAACGGATGAAATTAATGTAATATGATAAGTAAATTAATTTTCAATTAATGTAAATACTTATAGCCAAGTTTACAAAAGAACAGGTCAACTTGTCGGTAAAATTTTCTGATCTAAGACTGAAAAGAAACTGGCTTTACTGGATAGTAAAGCCAAAGTAATGAAAATACCAATTTTAGTGAATTGTAGTACTTGTCACTTTCTATGAGAATAGTAGAATAAATAAGGCTTGTCAATTTTGTAACTAATGTGTTAAACGGTTTCATTCATTTATAACGGTGTAACCAAGTACGTGTTATCAATAAAGGTATAATGTTCATTAACTTTACAAATGTTGCCAAAACATTGAAGCTCCTCCGAAGTTATTAAGTTAGTTAAATGTTTCTGTTCTTTCGGTGTGAAAGTTGATATAAATATAAAATATTCTTCATTTGAATGGAATCTACATTGAGTGCAAAACTTTTCTCATTTCTCGTTTTTAATTTGATTCATAACCAATTTACTGCTGCGTTAAGACTTCCATATAAAAGAGTCATCATAGACAGCTTTCATTTTTGCAGAATAAACGTTGTCCTGTTTATTGCAGGTACAGAAGTTATTGTTGTAAGTCTTTAATGTGTTTTTACAACCACCACTCCAGAGCCCGACTGGGCTTGATTTAATCAGAGTTTCGTAATGGCGGCTCGGGATAAGCTCAGAAGCAAATCCCAGGAGGGCTGAAGATTTACAAAGAGAGAGAAACTCGAGAAATTATATATTTTTTAGGATTGACGTGTGTGTTGTTGAATGTCTTTATTTGTTTGAAAGCGAATAATTTTATCAACCTTTTCATTGTGCATAATAAATAGGTATGTGAATAAAACAGAGATATTTTTCTAAAAGTATATTTCATTCTAAACGTATTATTATTTATTTATTTCATATAGAGATATAGAGAGAGAGTAGCAATGGTTATCCATATTATCCATCCATCCTTATCGAGTAGCAATTTCATATTACATGAAATTGCTACTATTAATCCATATCGAAAACTTTCTTAATAAGGAAAGAACTCGTTCATTCGAAATAAGAGAAGTAAAACTAATTCTAATATTAAATTACTCGACTAGTCTTCACAGTTCACACTTTGTTTTCAAATTGTACATTACACAGTAACAGTGACTGGTCGTGTCAGAGTCTAATATAGTGAGCTCGCGTATACAGTATAACATCCTGTCTATCCCACACATGGTGTACAAGTTGCAATGAATCACCCGAAACGTTCGCCTTCTTGCATGTTTTCAATATCAAAATGTGAAATGTAACGAGACAGGACACAGTCTTCCTGAGTGACAGATTCCACTGAACCAAAATATCGCCCGTTGGCTTCTGCACTAAATTACTTCTGTATAAGGTGCGGTGAATAGAGTGTAAGTTATTAGAATGACTAGGAAAAATATTATTTAAAACTTTAGCCTAACTTTCCCTTATTTAATTATGTTTGTATCGTTCACCCCGTAGGGGTTAGTGACCCTAAACAAGAGGTCATGTGTTCGATTCCCACCCAGGACGAATAATTGTGTGATGAGCACAATCATTTGTTCTGTCTGGGTGTAATTTATTAAAGTATTATATGTATTTAGAAATATATAAGTATGTTTACTAGCAATTTGGTCACCTAGTATAGGGTCAGCCTAGTTCGGGATCTATATGTACCTGATCCTGACCTGATGGTTCGATAATATATCGAACAATTCATACACGCGATGGTATATATCTATCTCCTAAGGATAACCCACAGTAACCATTTTTATCTTTTAAATATTACAAAAAAAAAATGGGTTATTCACGAGTCTATTTTAAACAATGCATTATTATTCCGTATCAAATTAAATACGTTGTGCATTTAATGTAGAGTAAAATTGCATTTTACTCTACATTAAAAATTATTTTTTTAATGTGTAGTAAAATGAATATTTTAGAAGATATTACAGGTTTGCATTAAAATGCCGTTTAAAATGCTCTTTAAAAGGCCCAGGATCGGAGCGGGCCTATAAATATTGTATTTAAATATATCCTGTAGCATAGTGCTGGAGTTGGCTTTAAAAAAAAACAATTACTCTACACTGATATTAGTAGTAGCTACATTGCAAACGTGCGAAGCAGGGGCGGATCGCCAATAAGTAATAAATACACCTATGTATTTCGGACAGAAACTGGGAATAGTCCTCTAATTTGTAGTCCAAAATTTATAGTAGAAAAAAAAAGAATGTTTACTAATAAACATGCTAAAACTATCTTATACGCCCTTGCGGTAAACGCAGAACTTGTGACGTCATCGATGAGAGCATTACCCTTTGTTTAGTTGCCAAGAAATCCAATGATATTTAAGTTACTGGTACGTCAGACTGATGTCAACGAAATGGCAACAATCGGATGTTTTTTTTTCTCTTTTTGTGTATGGACTTAAAAAGAGAAAAGTACATCCGTATGACGCCATTTCGTAGTACTTACAAGGTATGGTTCACTTCTCTTTTAAATATTACAGCACAATTTTAAACAGTTCGGCATTATCAAGATAGACATAGAAACTCCAAAAAGTATACGCCTTTGGTCATTTGTTTCTGAAGCATTAGAATACGTTGCATGTAATTTTCATGCAATTTTTTAGCTTGAAGGAATTACCTAACACGCGGGCTATTAGTCGAATGTACCTTTTTTGTTAGAGGGTGCAAACATTTAACCTTATTTAAAATGTTAAAATTGCCTTCACAGGCTAGCAGTACTAAAGCGATCGCGTTGGATAGCCGATATATAAATAAATAAAGATACGAACAACTGGTACTATTTTGCTACTTTAGTTATGTAAAAAATCTCAATATGTGTACATATCAGACAAGTTCGGATCACGTGATTATACCTGACTTTCCACGTTTCATTGACCAGAGAATTTCAGTGAATAGCACGTAAAGATATACAGAATTGAAAAATATTAAGTACAAGAATTATGTCACCAGTGTAAATGCCTGCCCAAAACTATTTTTCTAAAGTTTAAACATCAAATTATCATAATTAAATAACAATACCAATACATCATTATACCTTACAAACATCAGAGGCTTATTTTAAAATCTCCAAGAAAACTGTAAAGTAAATGGTTCAAAGATACAAATCTGCTAGAATTAACAGTCACCCTCACAAAATCGCATAGGAACAACAATTAGGTCAATAAATCGAAGTAATAACATTATCTTTTGGCACGCTATCCAATCCAAGCGAAAAGTATTAAGAGAATTTACTCTCTTTCTGTCCTCTTCTAAAACCGATAGTGGAAGTGAGACATTGTATGTCTGATAGAGAGAAATAAGTTCAGCTGTGAGCTTTGGAACTAAACTTGAAGCCACAAGCCAGTCGGCAAGGAAATATAAAATTGTAGAACGCCATTTTGGAGCTGGCATGTTATGGTATTGCCTATTTCTCAGATTTTATAATTTCGGCAATACATCGTTTATAAAAGAATATTGGTGATGTTTGACATTAATTCTAGTCTATAATGTTATAGTTTTTATTAACTATCCAATTTTATTAAACTTCGATGACTACGATCATTTAAATTAAGTTCAAAATCGATCAAACAAATAATTCAAGATTATTTTTGGTGTAATGTTGACAAAAAATAGGTTTTAAAACAAATATTTTATACAGCAATGGCATTAAATTACATTTAGGTTTTGTCCGATTGCACTTAACATCACGACATTATTCATTTCATTCATTTAGTTTGTTTAGTAAAATTTGAGGACTTTCATTGTTTAAGGTGGTTTCGGTATAAACACGCGACTTGCTAATCATCGAGAGTTGAAAAAAAAATGGAGTTAAACTAGGTGCACCTTACTTGTTCAGAAGTCAAGGTCAAATAATAATTATTATTGACTTATAAATATTATAATAAACATGAATCTAGGAACTCTAATGTTGTAATAAAGCCTGCAATTATAGTAATCACATTACTTTCTTCAAGTTGCTAGATCGATTTTCGCCACAATTAACCATGTGTATTCTTTTTCAGAAAACAACCAAAGACGTTCGCGTTCGACCACTGTTTTTACTCCTTGGATTCAGCTCTGCCGAATTTTGCATCGCAAAAGACAGTATTCGAATGTCTCGGCAGGGATATACTCGACAATGCTTTCGACGGTTACAACGCTTGTATCTTCGCATATGGACAAACAGGTAAGCCTCTGCATTCAAAATACAACCTGGAAATCTTTACTTTCGCTGATTTTTTATCAGGCTCCATGTAATAGTTGTGTACTAAAGTTGTTAAGTTAAGGACTTTCTATTTTTTAGGAAACGATATCGAATAATTGATTAAATTTAAATACTATGCGAGTAAAATATATATCGAGATATATTAAAATATATTTAGAGAAAAGTTAAAAAAAAGTAAGAAAATTCTTCATTCACGATTTGTTGAAGTTTGAGGAGGGAGGATTTTTATCAGATTAACTGAGGTTATCTGAGGCTTTGAATACTTTTACATACATTTTATTTTGTGCTAGAAATTACTTTCTGGCAACATAGCTCTAAAATTCCATTTTTAAAGTCATAGAGGTCTTTAAAGTGTGAAATGATGTAAAAGGAATACACATTTTCGTTTAGTTATGTATTATGTACCTAAATGATAATTCATTTGAATGAATGAATTATTATTATGGTATATAATATATACCTAGATACTTCTTATAAATCTTAAATACATTAATAAGGCTCCTCTTTACATTGTTACAACTGAAATTCAAAATGGCAGGTTTAATATTAATATTACCTACGCTAGAGAATATTCCGTTCCAATGAAAATTTATTTCTAACTCATAAATTTAGAAACGGTATTTACACCAAAAGCCTTTCAGCAAATATGCCTTGGTATGTATCTAATTTAAAGAAAAAGTTTTTAACGCTTCTGAATAGAACACTTAGACAATATTTTCTTGTTATTCTTCGACGTCGTCTTTAAGGGAAAATCTTTTTCTTTTTACACACACAAGTGCCACTCTAACAAAAATAAAGTGCCTGGGGGTTTTCAGACATACAATCAAGGTACACTAAATACGCCGGACTGACAGTAAAGATTAAAATCTTTATTCCGGATTTACTGGATATGGTAATCGTAGACTGAACAGACGGTGTAGTGGTTAAAGTAAACACTAAGCTTGAGAGGCTTGTAGGACATGAATTCGTGTAATTTCGTTTCGGATTTATTATTTTCATTGCCCGAATTATGAAATCTCCGACGACTTCTAACTGTATTAATAAATGCTAAGAATATAGTCATCGTTTCCATGTACCTCATTGTCATATACTGTCTAGGGGTATTAACTTTTACGAGCGAATATAAAAGTAATCTTTACGATGGTATGGCTCTGTCACCTGTACGATATAACCCTATAACCTTGTCTACAACCTTGAACTATCCTCGTGTCCTTAGCACCTTACTTTTATAATTACATGAATTATACGCAGTTGTGATTTTGGCTTTTTTTTTCATAATAGCTTTTGCCACGGTTATCGTGGTAAAAACTAGCCTATGTTACTTGCTGAATAAAAAAAATCAAATTAGTGGTTTAGGCGTGAAAGCGTAACAAACCAACAAACTCACTTGCACATTGATAATAATGATAATATAAGTATGGATTACGGATTCATCGTGAAAAATGTAGTACAATGAAAAAACGTAAAACCCTTGGTTTATTTTGTCTTATTATAATAGAATTTTGTTTGTTTTTCTCTTAGGCGTGTTAAATCTTATATATAAAATTCTCGTGTCACAATGTTAGTTACCATACTCCTCCGGAACTGCTGGACCGATTTTTATGAAATTTTGTGTGCACATCGGGTAGGTCTGAGAATCGGCCAACATCTATTTTTCATACCCCTAAATGACAAGGGTGACCCACCCCTAATTTTTTTTCAATATTTCCTAGAGATAATATTTGGCAAAACAACGTTTTTCGGGTCAGCTAGTTATTTATATGATGAATATTTAGTCATTTATTCTGAGCGCTCTTTCTATTACCTGTTTTGTTATCCCTAATATTCCCTTTTAATGTACATTCACGTGAACCGGGAGCAAGATATGTTATGTAAAAGGTTTATTTCAGATTAAATCAGTTAGTTCAACCTATATGATTATATTACAAGCCAATACCCGATCTATTCTCGAAAAGTACTATACCTACCTTGTGAAATATCTGGTTTCAATTAATTAAATGAACATTAAAACGAGTATAAACAAGCACAAAGTAACTTAAAATGAGTAAAATTTGTGCAGTCTTGCTGAATATAAGGGTGATTCACTAACGTCGCGCTGCGCGTGACCCCCTGTTCCGATCCAATTAAAAATTCCAACGCGTGTTCACGAAGGGCGCGTCGCGTGCCACGTGCGCCGGCGCCTGTGCGGCCATGAAGGGATTTCGTGACGTCACGTACTTGTTGGACGGTTACTAGACACTTAAAATGTCATCATATTAGGTTTAAGCATTGTGTTAGGGGTTTACGTACTGTGACGGGTGCTTTATTGAACATTTAAAAAAAGTGTACGGAAGAACTATCACAACAAAAAGCGAAATTAAAAAATGAAGATGATGCGTTTTGGATTTCCTCGCATAGGTGTTTTTTATTTTGATTATTTTCTAATTGATTAATTTTTGCGGTAAATAATTATGGCCATTAAGTGTAATTTACATGCTTTTTCATAAACAATATATTTAAAGAAAATTTAATAAGTATTATTTCATGACATGCGATTCTAATTTATGAAATTGATTTAACAACATTTTAAGCTGTAAGAGAAAATCGAATGTAAACATAACACTGTAAATAACAGTTTAGGGAGCTTGAAAGAAAACAATTAAGGTACTTTTAACATATACGCTAGAAAACTACGAACTAAAATATATATACCTACTGGGTTGCCTTGCCTTGTATGGTTAGGTTTTAAGTAATTATAAACTCATACCTAATTATTCGCTCAGCTCAGAGTTGTTTGCTCTAGAGAATTTAACTTGCAACATAAACCCAAATTTTAGTTTTAAACTGTTCACCGTATTTGCAAAACACACAAAGCTAACAGCATATTTTACATATAAAACTTAATCTGGCGGCCTGAAAGTACTAACTAAATATGTTTTACATAAGCGAAGTAAGTCATTTGACAAACATTAAATGCCAGAAAAGTAAAAACATGTTTCCATTTAACAAATGTTACACGTGAAAAATCACAAACGTAATTTCATTTTATTAAATAAAAAAAAAGATGTATTCAAATTTCAGAATTTGTAAGCTGCCAACAAGTTAGGAATACGTTGACGTCGAAATAAAAGAAAATTGGCGAAATGTATTGAGCCGTGAATCTATGGTTGACTTAATATGGTATGATATGAACTACTGAAATTTCACTTTTACAAGAATATCACTGACTACAATCCGCTCCACGTCATTATTCTTCATTCCTCAATTTTCAACCCTTAGGGGTGGTATTCATTCTCCAAGTGAAATAAAACCAAATGGGTTTATTAATAATGGAGTTCTGAGTAACAAACATTGAAAAACTTGAATTCGATTACAAAGTGTATGAAATATTGAGCCCATTTTTTAAAGGAATATGATTTTGATTATTTCTATTCTACATCAAAATCATCACAAACTGTTTTCACATTAATGTTTTAAACATTCCTTCTGTACAGTCTTTAAAGAAACGTTACTGCAAAAGGTGGCACGAATAACTGAGGCGACGCGTTTAAAACTTGCCAAGGGGTGCTTTTAAATTATGCTTCACATAAAATTTTAATGAATAAAAGTCTTTGGAGACGTGTGACACGTGTATTTTAATGTAAAATGACTGTGACCTTATTTTGTACGTATGTTGAGAAACGAAATGTAAATTTTGAAGATTTGTTTAACGGAACAATCTTTGTGCCGTCTAAAGAACGCCCGAACGTCCTTATTTGTGTACGTTTATGTCGCCTAATTTCACTCTAATTCTAGTTTGGTTTACTTATTTGTGCTGATTCAAATATCATAAATCCATTTACAGAATGAAACTAACAGTTCACTGTTACTATACTCTAAGAGTATTGAATTTTTTACCGACTAAAAAGTTGTCTAAATTTTGGAAAAAGTAATAGTCGGTAGGTGCAAGGTCTGGTGGTCACATCTGCAACCAGCTTTGGTCAATCGGTCGTCCCCACTGCTCCTTCACGACAGCGCGCGACCCCATACTGCGCAACATACAGTCTCCAAGCTGAGCAAGAGCTGGGGTTGGAAGCTCTCCCTCATCCGCCATACTCACCAGACCTTGCACCTACCGACTATTACTTTTTCCAAAATGTACAGAACTTTTTAGTGGGTAAAAATTCAATTTCCGAGAGGCAGTACAAAATGCATTTGAAGAGTTTGTTGCCTCCCGTCCAGCTGATTTTTACAAGAAGGGCATCAATAAACTGCCAATGCGTTGGCAAAGATGCGTCGATTGCATGGGTGATTACTTCGAATAACAGAAATAAAAAAGTTTGAAAAAATAAGTACTTTCACTTATTGCATACAAAACGGCAATTTCATAGGTAAAGACCTATATAATAATAAATAATATAATTTAATAGAAATGTTAAATTGTATATAGATTGGCATAAAGCAGCATATAGAGTTAATTACCAAAAATCACCGACGCAAAATAACTATTCCTCATTCCGAACATTATAAATACCTTGTTAATACGAGTATATCATTTATAAGGATGCAACACTGTTCTAAAGGTACAATCTCCATCTTCAAGGTTCGGTAACCAAATCATAATCTATTTTCTATCTATCTATTTTTCGATGTTTAATCATTATTGGATCATTTAAACCAAATTTTGTCACCTAATTATAATTATTTGTCATAACACGAATTGTGTCTACAGGAAATTTAACGCGCACGTTTCAAAACGTTCATTTGATTTGTAGGCATAATTAAGAAAATTTTGGCCCCGCTACGTTAAATTTTCCAGTGGAAGTAAAAGAGCTTTATTCATAATCTTATTTGAGGAATTATATTTTGATTATGTTTCTTTTGTCCCTAAAATAGTGATCGCAACTGAAGAATATATTGACCAAAATACTGTAGACAATGTTAATTTTTTTACTTACGACTTTATTAAAGTAACTCTCGAAATTTTTGTCAAAATCCACAAC